ATATCTTAATTTTAGAATTGTTTTAGTATAAGACACTGATATAAAATTATGGAATATTAATTAATTTACTTAGCAAATATTTCCAAGCAACTGGTTTTCAAGATGGTGAGAATACACGATGAGCAACGTGGACACAAAAGGTCCCTGTTCTTGCATAACCTTCATTCTAGTGGTAAAGACAGAAAATTAACATAATGTGTAGTAAAATATATAGACTATCAGCTGGTGTTGAGTGCTATGGGAAAAAATAAGATGAGGTGGTAAAATAACTTGGGGAGTGCTAGGAGCTAGGGGAGTTTTAAAGAGGGAGATCCGGAAAGACATTAAGAAGAGGATACTGGGGCAAAGATTTAAGGACGTGACAATCACATAAATACAGGAGAGAAGCATTTCAAGCAGCAGAACAGCAAGTGCAAAGGCCCTGAAGCAGGAGATGGCCTGGCATGTTCAAAGAAGAGCAAAGAGATTGGGGAAGACAGCAAACAAGAGAGTATAGGAGGTGAGCTCAGAGAGGAAATGGGGACCTTCTGGCTATTGTGATAACTTTGGCTTTTTCTCATACTGGGATAAGAAGGTGATAACTTTGACTTTTTCTCATAGTGGGATAGGAAGGCATAAAAAGCAGAAAAGTAACACAATCCAACATACATCAAGCAACATCCCTGACTGCTCTGTTGTGAATAGACTTGAGATGTCAAAGTGCGGGAACCAATAAAGAGGCTTTTGCAATAATCTAGATGAGAGATGACGGGAACTTGGGCCCAAGTGGTAGCAGAGGAGGAGGATCAGTAGGCAAATTCTGGGTGTGTTTTGAAAGCAGAATCAGCAGGATTTGTTGATGGGTTAGATGTTGAGGTTGAGAGGAGGGACTTAATGATGAACATAAGGTTTGGGAGAAAAGTACAGAATTTTGATTTGAAATATGATGGGTTTCAGATACCCACTAGTTAAATGAATATAGTCAGTAGGGTATTTGGAGTTCAGAGAGGCTGGGGCTAGAGACATACATTTGGGAGTTGTCAGTATAGACAGCATGTAAAAGCACAAGACAGGGTGAGGTGATAGGAGGACAGGTATGAACACAGAAGAGAAAGAAAGAGGTCCAGAGGCCAAATCATGGAGTTTCCAATGTTAGGAGCTCGCTTATGGAGATAAAGAAGATAGGAAAAGGACACTGACATGGAGCAGCCATTGCAGTAGAGGAAGCATTTCCTGAGTTGAGAAATCTTTTTGTACAAAGTGTTCATGCTCCACTGTGTCTATTTATCACTATTTATATTGACCTGTTTTTACATTTTATAATGAATGAAGCTGTGATCTTAATTGGAGCCCAAAGAAAGAGTAAATAAATACCAAGAATAAATAAAAACCTCAACCTGAGGCTATAGATTAAAGACAAGCCCTTTTTAGAGTAGCAGCGTTATATAAACAAGTATGTGCTGGAGTGAGAAGATTTGGACTCTGGTTTCAGCTCCTCCAGCTCCAACTGTGTGATCCTAAGTGAGTCACTCCCCCTTTCTGAGACTCAGTTTTCTCATTCGTCAAAAGAGGCATTTGAACCAAGCAACCTCTGCTCTCATATTCTATGCAGTTTCCTCAGTTTTATTAGAAGGTTTTATCTTAGGTATGTTAAAAGACTGAGAGAACAGGATAAAGTCACTGACCACAATTGATAGTCTCAAGGCCAGAGCCAAGTGAACAGCCTATCACTGAAAGAACTGCTTATCTCAGACAGAGTCAGAGTGAGTGTAGACCGTGAGAGAGATTATATAGTGGGCTGCAGAGAAATGGGTAACAGAAGGGCATGGTTTTCTATCTTTGTATAGGAATATAATTTGCATGTTTTAATGTAGTTTCCAGATCATTCATGCACAAAGTAGAGCTCTGCACAGAGCATGGTGGATTGCAATGGAACATTTGAACTCCATTTTCCCAGGAGCCAGATCGACACCTGGTTACTCCCACGTACACCTCCCCAAGTCAAGCAGCAGATGCTGATATCTGAACAGGCATGTTTCCAAAGGTTTGGCCTGTTCCCTACTGGGTCCCCAGTGTTTAGCATAATGCCAGGTACATCATAGCCACTCAGTACATACTTGTTGAGTGAATGAATGTTGAATGGACTCCTCAGCCTCACAGATTTGCAGGAAAATGTTCATCAACTTCATATGACAGGTGAAGGATCCTCTCATGTTTCTGCACCTGTTAGACTGGGAATCCTCATCATTCAAAAATTTGCTTAGAAGCCCTTGGGAAAGCCACATGGAGTGATGGAAAGAGCATGAAATGGGAGACTGGATCCCTGGATTCTAGAGCGGCTGCAGCTATCCCAGGATGTGTGAGAGGTACATAGCCTCTACAGACTGCAGTTTCCTCTAAGAAAACATTGGAGAGCAGTGCCAATTAATGTTTCATTAAGCTCTCAGATTCTCTATTTCTTTCCTATCCTTTGTGAATGACATGGGCCTCACTGGAATTCAAATGCAAGTTTCCTTCTGATAATAAATATTCTATTTGGTCAAGTTGCTATCATCTTAGTAAAACAAAAATAAATTGTTTTGGATTTGAAATTTTTTGAAGATATGTAATGAGTAAAAAGTTCTATAATTTTTTTCTTTTTTGAGATGGAGTTTCGCTGTTGTTGCCCATGCTGGAGGGCAGTGGTGTGATCTCGCTCACCTCTGCCTCCTGACTTCCAGTGATTCTCCTGCCTCAGTTTCCCAAGTAGCTGAGACTACAGGCACCCACCATTATGCCTGGCTAATTTTTTTTATTTTTGAGAGCCTGGCTAATTTTTTGTATTTATAGTAGAGATGGGGTTTCAGCATGTTGGCCACGCTAATCTTGAACTCCTGACCTCAGGTGATCCACCCACCTGAGTCTCCCAAAGAGCTATGATTACAGGCGTGAGCCACCGTGCCCAGCTTCTATATGTAATTTATCTTTATAATGTGTTGACCTCTTCTGTTTTGCATCTGAAATCGAATGCTTTTCACATGATTACTACTCCATGAAACACTTTCTCATTCTCTGAAGCAGTAAAGGCTTTTAGAGTTCCAACAACCGTCTGGGCCTTTCTGATGGCATGAATGGTCTACTTTGCAGCTCTTTGTTTTCTTTTCTTACTTCCATTATGGATTCTTAGGCATTAAGGATTACTGAGTAATCTTTCAAAGATGTCTCCAGCACAGTCCCAATATTTGTTGAATTAAATTCTATAAGCAAATTTCTAATGATATGCATTTACACTGTAAGCTATTCCATACAGAATGGGAAAGATACATAAGGTAAAATTTTAAAGAAAAGAAGATTACAATTTGTGACCTAAGTTTTTTAAAATTGAGAGTATTTAAATGAAGCAATTAATTACATTGGCCAACTTTTTATGCATTTGCAAGGAAATATTTCTAATGAAAATCAACAAAGAAGGCAAATAGATATTTAATTCTGGGAATGTGTGAGTGAATAGAATTGTTTATAATAGAGAAAAACTGGAAGTAACTTAGCTGTCTAGTAAGTTAAATAATTATTACATAAGATGTAATACTGTGCAACCATTAATAATACTGCAAAAGTATTTTTATTTCTAAAGAAAGATATTTGACATTTTATCTGATGAAAAGTAAGTACAAACAAAAAATATGTATTGTATTTTATAGATCTGTTAAAACTGTGTTCAAACACACTCATTAACATAGACACATATCCCAATTGTCAGCAGTGGAAATTATAATAATTTTCTTTCTCTTTTTCAGTACCTTAACTTGCATTCTCTTATTTATTTATTTTTTACAATTAATAATGTTTCTTTCATGTAAAATATGTGTATCAAATCTATGATAGACAATTCTATTCAATTAAAATGTATTAAAAACCAGAAACTGATAAATATTGTCCATTCTTAAGAATCCCCTGCCCATATTTTATTTTTCTCTTAAGTTTTGCGCATCAACACTTGACTATAATGTTCAGACGCAGAAATGAAGTTCACTGTTGCAGACTGTAGCTCTGAAGACTGATCCTGTGTCAGACACCAACTACCTAACTGACTTTTGGCTAGTAAGCTGGCTTCTCATGTCTGTAACCACATCTATAGAATATATACATGTCCCAAGTAGGTGAACTTTAAGAAACAGGTTTTGGAAAATCTGGAGAAAATGATTTATATGTAAAGCTTCCTACCAGTGACCCAACATTAGCTTAAGCAACATAAACATAAGCAAGAATGCTTGAAGTACCACAAATCATAAGCCTTTCTTATCTCATCAGCTACCCTGAAATGCTGTGAGTGACATAAGTTTATCTGTTGCTGAAGTTGGGTGTGGAAAACCCCTCTGCTGGGTTGGAAATCAAATAACTCACCTGTTTCCCACCACTCCCTTGAGTTGGACTGTGATACAAACTTTTCTAGACAAAAAGGGAGAAAGGTGGAGTGTGACCTTGGCATCTGCAGGAGGTCAGCAAAAGAGCACATTCTTGTTGGTAGGTAGGGCCTTTAGGATAAGGCTGACCAGGGGAAGACTGTGACGGGGGCCATACTTTCCTACCCCTTTTCGTATCAGTCCCTCTGTGCTTACCTACTTAGCTACACATTTTTCTCTCACTACATGGGAAGGTGGCAAAGGACCCCAATTCCAGAAAGCTGAGGATAATTCTAGAAGTCCCTCTTTCTCTCCCTGATATGCAACAGGCCTTGCAGCCCTGCTGATGAGGCTTCCATAAATATCCCTCCTCTATATCTATTATCTTCATTCCTGCTCAAAACTAGCCTCTAAGTCCTCTCCTGCACAATCCAGACTTCCATTTAACATCAGTTCTATGTGCCTACTTAGATGGTGTTTTTGCATGATGGTATTTTCTTACTCTCTTGTCAGAAGCTTCCTCTTGTCATGGTCTTCCATGTGCCTGGCTCTGTGGATATGTCCCCCTGTGTTTACTTCGCAGCATACTCTATGATTAATGTAGACTTGCTTGTCCTTCCTCTAGACTCCAAGCTCCTTAAGAATGAGAACAGTTTCCTTCACCTTGGAATCCTCATCCAGGGCTGTGCAGCCCATGGACACCCTCAGCACTACCATGAACACCAGCCATCATTTTGCAGAACAGATAAAAGTAGAGTACATGTGTGTTGTTTGTGCATGTGCATGTGTTTGTGTGCCTAATATGGATAGCTATAACTTGGTCTTTACATGTGTGCTGTCTTACATCCTGTCTTCTTCAAAAAGGATAAATCAATTTTCCTCCTTTGGGCACCTTTCACATCTAGTTTCTAAACCTCATATAATCTACCAGATCTGGGTCAACTTTCTTACTGTTTGGGTTCTTCACACCTGGGAGGGTTTTCATGACAAGGTCATGCTGTAACCATCAGAGAGGGAGAGGCTGGAAAAGGTTTAATGGAACATGTGGCTTTAGTCACATTAACATCAGCACCTCTGGGTATCCTAATCTGACTTTCACCTTTAAAGCCAGCTGTTTCTGAGCTCTGTTGATTGAGCCCTGAGTAACAAGCTCCAGTAGCTGTATTAAAACTTGATAATATCCTGCCTCTACTTTTATCTTTATTTACAGGAATCACTAGGAGTATGACATGAACTTTTCTTTACTCAATGACATAAAAACATACCAGTCTCCCCTCACCAAACCTTTCCCCTGCTACCCAGCCAAGACCCAAGACCATTTGCCTGCTTCCTCTTCTGGGGGGCAGGGTATGTGGCTTCCATTAGGACACCGCTGTTCTCAGCCATGTGGCAATCTGGCCACTCAGTCCTTTTTCCCGCCTCCTTGAAAATTACTTGCTTATGAGAGGCAGTGGATTGCAGGTGTCTATTAAAGGTCAGTCAATTGTTCTAATTTGCTTTGAGGGGGCCAATTTCTGTTTTATCAGCAGGATCTAATTTTAGGGCATACAGCAGAAGCAAGATTTAGTCTATGCCCAGCTCGTGTAAGGTGTAGCAGGGATTCAGAAAAAGTATTGTCAGGGGGTGTTTCATCAACTCAATAAAATATATTTTAGTGCCTAATATATGCTTGGTCCTGTTGAAGTATAAGGTGTTGCCCTTATACCTATAGATAATGGAGAATACATATAGAATAATGGAGAAGAAAGATAGAATCCACAAAGTGATTCAGAAAAGTCATTGAATATTGCAGTATTATCTTTATCAGGGATGCTCGAACCTTAGTGTGCGTGAGAATAACCTGGAGGGCTTTTTAAAACCACATTGTTAATTCAGCACTTCTGAATCCAGGGACACAGAACCACTGGTTTTTATGTACCATAGAAGGTTAGAAAAGAAGTTTAGGGAAGGTTAGAGAAGAAGGTTAGAAGTTAGGTCAATACTCAAAGAAACCAGAAGAATCCATACTTACCTCAACTATTCAGTGTTCCTGTGTGATTCTTCTGGTTTCTTTGAGTGTTGACCTAACTTTTTTAGATAGGGCCTGTTGCATCTTTCGTTTGCGTCGGAGTACATGGGGGAGTTGGAATTTCCACTGGTCTTGACAGGATTAGGATATTCAGATAGATCATGAGCAGGAAGCGAGGTTTTGTAGATCAGGGACACCCTGGGAACAGAATTACCACCTGAAGTGAGCAGGGCATATATTGGGGGTCTTTGAGCAGACTCTGCTTGGGGTGAAGAGTGTGACCTCTTCTTGGAATACATACAGATTCTAGACAAAGGCCATGCTGTCTGGCAAAGAATCAGAACCAGGAGATTCTTGGCTCATGGCTTCCCTAAATTCAGCTTTTTGGCCTACTAAGTACCAAGGCAAGTACAATTTCAAATGTCCTCTGAAGGTCTCTTCACTGTTGAAAGCACTCAGTACCATCCAATCACAAGCATAAGTCTCACCTCCCTCCATCTTTTCAATCATGTGGCCACTATGGTGATAAATGTGGACAGCAAATTTGGATTAGTGGAAAAGCTTGAGACAGATAGCATCCAGGCAAACCAAACAAAGTTTACCTAACTTCTTAATCTACTGAGATATAGCAGAAATTCAGTATAGGTGTGAAGCCCAAGGGATTTTCAAAACTTCCCTCAGGAACAGTACATAGTTATGGATGATAAATTCTGAGCAAATGGGAGACATATTAGACTTGTAGAAGTTCAATTCACCCCTAATCTTAGCCTCATACACAAAGAGTGGTTCTGCATCAGAGCTAGTCCAGGTACATCATAGACCACCTCACCCAGGCCAGGGACATCGATACTGCAGTTATGGAGAATGCAACAAGATCATGGAGCATAATATGGTACAGCACATTTGAGCCTGAGCATACTCCTCATGTGCCACCCAACTGAGCATACTCCTCATGTGCCACCCACACCACACCTCCTCAGGCCAACATAGCCTTGTTCACAGTTTCATCTAAAATTATCCAGAGACCTGAAGCTGTTACCAATATCACTGGGACTCATTCCCCCAGGCCCTCAGACCAGCTCTGCAGCTTATTCTCGATTTCTTTTATCCTTAATCTGACACAATCTACTGATACGGTTTGGCTCTGTGTCGCTACCCAAATCTCACCTCAAATTGTAATCCCCATATGTCAGGGAAAGGACATGATGGGAGGTGATAAGATTATGGGGCAGTTTTTCCCATGCCATTCTCATGTTAGTGAGTGAGTTCTCCTGAGAGCTGATGGTTTTATAAGAGGCTCTACCCCCTTCACTCTCTCTTGCCTGCTGTCATGTAAGACATGCCTATTTCCCCTTCCACCATGATTAGAAGTTTCCCGAGGCCTCTTCAGCCATGCAGAACTGTGAGTCAATTAAATCTCTTTACCTTATAAATTACGCAGTCTTGGGCAGTTCTTTATAGCAGTGTGAGAACGGACTAATATAGGAAATAATACCAGGAATGGGACACTGCTCTATAGATAGCCTGAAAATGTGGAAGCAACTTTGGAACCAGGTAGCAGTCAGAGGCTGGATCAGTTTGGAGGGCTCAAAGGAAGAAAGTCATGGACACTGGATGTTGTCTTGACATCACTGGAAAGCCATCAAATGCTTTAAGCAGAGGAGGAGCAAGAGGGATTTGAATATTAACAGATTACTTTGGAGGCTGTGTGGCTTATCTTGAAATGGAGGTAAGCCAAGAGCTTGGGAAAACAGGTTACTGCAACCATCTTGGATTTAAATAAGTGAAAGAAAGCCTGGAGAATAGCAATGACCATGGAATAGAAAGAAAGGGTGGATTTAAAAGATATGTCCAAAGTGGGAGTTGGAGAAAAGAGTCTGAGACAACCTCTAAAGCCTGTAAAATGTAAGCAGCAAATCAGAACAGGGGGTGATGGAAAGGAGTTCAGTCTTTGAAGTTCTAGGTAAATGATGAGATGGTCTCCATCATCAGATGCTGCTATGAGAGTATAGCAGGACTTAAGTTTCTTAATGGCACTGGGCTGGTAGCAGGAGGCAGAGACTAAAGCCAAGAGATGGGAGAGCCAAGGAAGCCAAAGTGAGGAAGTGTGAGTGGGACTGAGCAGGGCAGACACTGCTGAGCTCTTGGTGCTTACCAAGGTAGACGACTGGACCTAGGGGGGTCACAAGAAGAGTGGACAATTGGAGTAAGTCCCTTCAGCACACCTATGTCTTCTTTCTTCTTGAAAGATCAAATTGGTGCTTGTTTATCTCTTTTACTAAGTTTGCTTACCATGTCCCTTTGCAGTTCACATTGGAATCTGGACAGTTTCACACCAAGAATACACTTGTAGCTTTTCTCTGAACATGGAGATTATGGGAAAGGAAGTTGTCAGGAGATGATGTTCATGTCAAATGCAGGAAATGATGTTCTTCACTTGGCCAATTTTCTTTATCACTTTGTGATCTGGGTGATGGGAATGGGAGAGCCACTGAATTTCCATTCCATCTCACTGTCACTCACACATCCATTTATTTATTCACTCATCAAATATTTGAGGACCAAGCACTGAACTGAGCTCTAGGGGTACAGCAATGAGAAAGATAGAGTTGTCCCTCCATCGGGGAGCTTGCACAAAAGAGGGTTATGGCAGAGTGCTGTCTGGGAGAAAGGTGGGGGAGCGGGGTGACTGACATAGATGGGGCTCCAGGGACATCTTTCTGAAGGAAGCAGCATTTAACCAAGGACTGCAGGATGAGATGATGCTAGCCAGACAAGGGCAGTTGGGGCAGGAGGAAACAGTGTAGGGGGCTTGCTTCAGTGCATGAAGACCTGCAGGAGCAAGATGGTGGGCACAGCAGAAGAACTGGAAACAGACAGGGAGGTGAAGGGATGCGAGGTCAGGCTGGAGAAGTGGCCATGGACCATGCTGGCCCTGGCAAATGATAATAAGCATTTTGTTTGTTAGTGGCCACTGCTCCACAAGGAAGTAATAGGAACTGAAACCTTCCTGTGGGCTATGATTGAGGGATTGTGACCTGTGTCCGCCCAGATATGTGGATCTCATGGAGGGTTCCTGGAGTGATATTCTTTCTTTCTTAGAGGCAGAGTCATCATGAATGTGAGGGGAGAAATGTCAGCTGGAAAGGTTGGAATCTTTTCTGTAATCTTTTTTAGTTAAATCTGAGTCATTTAAATAGTTACTGTATACTTTAAAGTAAACTTCATCAAGAACTACAAACCAAAGTTCATTGTCAACAACCATTTTATTTTCATGTTTTTAATTAAAATTTTTATTTATTCATGTCTTGTCTTGGCAAGGTAACGAATCATTGTATCAATACAAAGTAGCCACTGTTGAAGTTTATGTAAAGTATTAGCTAGGACATTCTCAAGATTGAAACAATTGTCAGTGAAGGAAAATATGCCTCAGGGTATGTGGCAATGACATTAAAAATTACATCAGATAGAGTGGCTCAGTAGTGACCCTATGTCCTTTCCAGCTGACATCTATTTCATGACTTCAATAAATGAGTTGGTGGTCTTAGATATGCTTTAAAATTTTTTCTCCCATTACCTTTATTAGGTTTATTTTCAAATTAACCACACGTTCAACTATTTTGATGGAGTTGGGGGCATATGTCCAGAACAGTATGAACAACTATTACATTGGACCAGTTTTATTCATGTGTACTGAGGTCTGGTAACAGCAGTGCTAGGGGGTCCTGGGCAGTGCCATCACTTGCACCACAGGAAAAGTTTCTGAATTTTGTGAGAATTCCACATGTCTATAAGGCTGTCCCACCTTGGCCACCCTCAAAAGCCATCACTAAAACAGTGTGCTCCAGCATAGTGTCTTTACACATATGAAAAGGAAGGTAGGGACATGGGGAGGATGGGTTTAAAAGGTTCCAATCTTTAATGAAACTAAGTATAGAAACCTTAAACATGTGGGGGAAATTATCAGTTGTCTGGTAGTATCATCTCCCTGAACAAAATACCATTGATTTTTCAGACATTTGACATTGAGTTCAAGTATAAGTATACATTTCTCTCTCTCCCTCTCTTTCTCTCTCTCTCTCTCTCTCTCTCTCTCTCTCTCTCTCTCTCTTTCTCTCTCTGTCTCTAGGCAACAGAGAAGCTTCATAAGGGTCAAGGTCAAAATGATTTTGGAATATCTTAAACTTGGCACATCCATTCTGTGATGCCTTATTCTTTTAAATAACCATCTTTATTCAGGTGTTTTTTTCTACTTATCCTTTTACTTGATACATCATCATGTTTCTTGCTGTATTTTTAAATGTCATAGTTAGGTGTTTTTGTGTACTCAGAGGGTAGAAACTAGCACTGCTACTTCTGCAAGTTATAAAAGGATGCCTCTCTTAAGTGAATAAAATACAAAAAGATGACCCCTTCTGGTAATATAATTATGAAATGGGGCCTTTTTTCTTTGACACAAGGCAGCGCATGGGCTGAATTTTAGTTCCTACTAGCTCCACGTGTTTTCTTAGCAGTGCTTTTGTACCATCTTTAGCCTTCTCATAATTCATTTAACTCAGGAAGTATTTACTAGGAAAGGCACCGTGTTAGTGACTGAGGAATGTAAAGACAGGTGGGTTTCAGTCCTCCCAGCAGAGGCTTCCACATACACAAACAACTGTCTTAATTCTTTCCATGTAAGTATGTGCATGCCTATGTGTGTATGAATGCATGTATACAGGCATACCTTGGAGATATTGTGAGTTCAGTTCCAAACCATTTCAATAAAGCGAATACCTCCTTAAAGTGTCACACAAATTTTTTTGTTTATCAGTGCATGTAAAAGTTCTGTTCACATTATGCTGTAGTCTAGTCAGTGTGCAACAGCATTATGTCTAAAAAATGTACATATCTTAATGTAAAAATGCTTTATTGCTGGAAAATGCTAATGATCATCTGAGGCTTCAGCAAGTTGTAATGTTTTTGCTGGTTGCGGGGTGGGGGCGGGGGGCTTTCCTCTATGTTGAGGGTCTTGTTCTGAAATAGGCTTTGGCTTAAGAGAATGTCGTGGCTGGTTTGATATTCTATTCTGACCACTAAAGCTTTCTCCATGTTAGCAATATGGATGTCTCACTTTCTTAACATTTGTGTGGTCACTGGAGTAACTCTTTTAATTTCCTTCAAGAATTTTCCTTTTGCATTCACACTTTGGCTGTTTGGTGCTAGAGGCCTAGCTTTTGACCTGTCTGGGCTTTTGACATGCCTTCCTCACTAAGCTTAATCATTTCTAGCTTTTGATTTAAAGTGAGAGATATGCAACTCTTTCTTTCACTTGAATACCTAGAGGTCATTGTGAGGTTATTAACTGGCTAATATCAATATTGTTGTGTCTCAGGGAATGGGCAGGCCTGACGAGAGGGAGAGAGATGGGGGAATGGCTGGTCAGTGGAGCAGTCAAAACACACACAATTGTCGATTAAGTTTTCTATCTTTTATGGGCACAGTTTGTGGTGCTCCCAAAATAACTGCAATATTAGCATCCAAGATAGCTGATCACAGATCACTAAACAGATATAATCATGAAAAATTATGAAATATTGCAAAAATTACCATAATGTGACACACAGACATAAAGCGGGCACATACTGTTGGGCAGATGACATGGATTAGCATAAACCTTCAAGTTGTAAAAAATGCAGTATCTCAATAAAGCAAGGTGTGCCTGTATTCTACATCTCATCCTGAAGAGTATGAAGCTGCTCACAAGAAGAATCCCCCCAATAAGATGATGTTAAGTTGGAATCAGGAAATTCCAAATAAAAAAAAAATTGTGATCATATATAAGAAGAAGGAAAACATGATGGTGATCATAGATTCTAAACTAGTGATGCAAAATGTGAGTTTCAAACTCTGAGTTTCCTGGCATCAAAAATGAAAAGTGAAGCATAGTGGAGTACATAATTCTTGATATAAAAACTCAGGTCCACTGAATCAATCACGATAGACCAGGCCATGCTAGCTCCAAATCTCAGTGGTCCATCACAACAAATGCTTATTTCTTATCCCATAAATAAACTGCAGGTCAAGCAGATCTCCAGCACAATGCACTGTAGTGGCTCAGGGGTTCAGGTCACCTCCACCCTATGAATTACCATTCCAACCCTAGGCCTCCGTGTTGCCTGTGGGAGGAGAGAGAGCGACTAGATATATCACTCCTGCTGAAAGCTCATTGGCCAGGACTATTCATACAATCATACATAACTACAGGGGGCCAAAAGATGCAGTATTTGGTCAGCTTACCACCTGTGCCACAGACACAACTATGAACACTTCCTCCTAAAGCTGAATTCTCAAATAACTCTTTTACATGGAACTTTATATGAGGCAGAATAACAGAGGAATAAACATTGTGTTAATGCGGGTTCAGAGAGAGGTGCTCTGAATGAGTCCTCAGAAGCTCAGAACAAATTCATTTAGAGTGATTAAGGAAGATTGTTGAAAGAAGCTGGACCTAAAGTGGGTTTTATTTTTAATTTCAATAGGTTTTTGGGGGACAGGTGGTGTTTGTTTACATGAATAAGTTCTTTAGTGGTGATTTCTGAGATTTTGGTGCATCCATCACCCAAGCAGTGTACACTGTACCTAGTGGGCAGACTTTTATCCCTCACCTACCTCCCACTTTTTCCCTGAGTCTCCAAAGCCCGCTGTATCATTCTATGCCTTTGTGTTCTCCTAGCTTACCTTCCACTTATGAGTGCCAATATACAAGATTTGGTTTTCCATTCCCATGTTACTTCACTTAGAATAATTGTCTCCAGGTAAAGCAGGTTTTAAAGGATGATGAGAAATTTGAAAGATATGGGGAGGTTTTGGGGAAAGGAGATCATACCTCTTGAGGCAGTGGCTGAATGTCTCCATTCTCTTCTGGAAATATCAAACGGTCTGGTTTGCCTGGTGTCCTCATGGAGCTGCAGGAAATCAGGTGGGAATCATGGGTGGTTGCCACTTTGCAAAGGGTCGCAGGATTTGTGTCTGGCTCAGCAAGTATTTGGGAGCAGAAAGTTCCTGCTGCTATCATTGCTAAGTCTTCTACTTAACGGAGCTGCTGAGGGAGGCTTTCCAAAACATCTTTAATCATGTTTTGAGTAATTATAAAAACTCAGAAATCATATGGTTTTTCTTCTTCTCCTTTCTTCAGACATACATCTGAGCAGTAAGAGATGTATCCTTAAATATTTCCTCAGAAAAAATTAATGGAGTGAATCAAAATAGACCTTCTTTCAAGCTGTTCCAAATGAACTCATTTCACAGCCTTTATCATGCATTCTTTGCCTTTTGGGAAATTTATTTAAGTTATTAAAAAATTCCCTAAAATTCTCAGTTGAAAAATTGGCTTCTGTTTTTTCTACAAAGCTAACTCACCTGATTTGTCAGAACAGCTTGAAAATGAAGTGCTAACTGGTGGGTTTTATTGAAAGGAAACCAAGTGGAACAACATATGTATTTTCTTAGGAAACTCAAAAAGCTCACAGTCATGTGGCGTTCCTTGGGGTGAATTCTTTGTTATGAATTACAACCTGCTTACTGATGAGTTGTTAATAAAAAGTAGGCCTGCTGGGCCATTATTTTTTTCCACACAGTACACACAGTTTAGTTTTCCTTCTTTCTTTCTTTCTTTTCTTTTTTTTTTTTTAAGTTTTCATTAATGCACTGAGTGTGAATAAATCTGTTTCTAATTTGTAATTGTTTTGCCTTCATCTAGACAATAATTTATTGCCAAATCTTACACTTGTCCATTATTAACATCCCCCCAACAGGAAAATATTTTTTCTTTTTTTTTTTTGTTGCCTTTGTTTCTCTATTTTTTTTTAAACATGGAATGTGAGAGCAAAAAGTTGCAGGATGGCAGAGGTCTTGTTTGTGAAGGTGACATCCAAGTCGGTGTTGGGGTGGACGCCTGAGGTGACCCCGGCGCCTGTGGGCCTGTCCAGATTGCATGGCCATGGCCAAAAAGGCTGGTCAGCTGCAGTTGTTTGGAGCTGAGAAAATAGGCTGGGGGAAAACTGTTGAGGAAAACTAGAAACAGATGCTAACCTGATGTGGCAGGACAACTTTATTTAGCATGGCAGTTTTAATTAATTAATTTATTTTACATGTGCATCTGGTCACGCTGGGGAGTCTCTATGCATACTCATTATTATGCTGTTAATAGTGTATCTGATTTGCCAAGGAATATTAGCAATTAAGTTCACTATGTATTCAAGGACATTCATATTTTAGTGGGCCTTTGTGAGGCATGTTAGTGGTTAGGGTTTTATGTGGAAAGGGCATAGAAGCTAATGTTTGAAGTTCTAGTGGTGTGGAAAATGTGTCTGCCAATTAAGGATTAAAGTGGCTCTCCCCCACCCCCAACCCCAGAACATGCTAAGTTGTCAATAAACAGCCAGTGGGATGCTAATACATTGCTGTGATGTGTTCCTGATTCTAGGAATATCTGGGGTGGTTGTATTGCTCCTTTGTGAACACATGGATGACAGATCTGTCTTTATTTCCATTGGAGGTATGAGTGTGGGTCTAGGGATGGGTTTTGGATGCTTAATTTATTAGTTCGTGCTTCTTTTTCATCAATATCTCCATTGATAACTAAAATTATTAAAAAACCTTTTATGGATAAGATACAATTCGAGATGGAAGACGTATTTTGCACAAAAAAACTAAATATATCTTTTCGCTTCTGTTTCACATAATTTTTATCATTCTGAATTTTGTCTGGGTCTTAAATTTCTAAAACCTTGTGATTGCCATGGTGATTCTCCATGAGTTGCCAGGAATCCATCTTTGAGACAGGAGGATTCTTGCTTGAATCAGCAGCTAATTTTGCAGAATTGTCAAGCTTAGCTAATTTGTCTTATCACCTGGAAATCTGAGTAGTCTTATTGCCCATCAGATTCAGTTTCTTTTGCCAGTGGTGGCTCATTCCTATTTGTGCAAAGTACACACTGTATGCTCAAAATGCACTGGTTGTTCTGACACAGGATTTGAATCCACATAAAAGCTGGCACTAGGGAGTATTGCACTGGTGAGCAGTGCTGCCAGTTAAGTACTTGCTCACCTAAAAGCCCTAAGTTACCATGGAAGTAATGAGAATTGTATTGAATGTGTTTCCTAGTAAGAAAAATGTGTATGTTTATAAATTACACTCCTTTAGGTATATATTATGATCACGTGTTATGATTACACACCTATCATCTAGATTGCCTGAATCTCTCAGAAAATAAGGACACTGTACTATTAAAAATAGCAGCAGACACTGCTTTGATCTGAGCTTAAGGAACATGGGTTTCCATTGCAAAGTGAGATGTTTCCAAATTCGAAGTATTACATGTGATGGTGACTTAGCACTGGCTGCTGTTTGGCTCTGCTGGTGCCACAGAAGAGAGCACTGCCATCACTAAGCTGGTCCTACTCATGGCAGCATCATGGAAGATAAGCACCAGTTAGAGGCGTCTTTAGCAGTAGGGTGTGGGATGAGAGACCAGAGATGAGAAATCTGAAGGATCTGGGAACTCTAAACCAAGGACATTGACGCCATTGCCACAGAAAGTCATGTTTTCCACCCTTTACATAAACATCTACAAAAACATTTCATAGATTTTCATTCAATTAGTAACTGTCAGTTCAGGACCCACTATCTGCCAAATGCTATTTAAGGTGCAGTTTTTCCCCCCATGGACATTACAGCTCTGCATAAATAAAAACCATTATCTTGATGATTATGACCAGAATGTCATAGTCATTACAGGGAGAATACTCCATGGCACTAAGACTCTGATTTATCTCTAAAGGCTGAAAACAAAAGAGCCTGGGCTTTGGAATCAGACTGATTCCAGACTGATAATAAATAGGATACTTAATCTCCCCGAGCCTCATAGAGAACTCACCTGCAGGTATTCTTGCCCCAGGTTTTGTGAGGATTAAACACGATACAATGAATATAAAGCACATATAGAGGGTAGGAATTTAAGCAAACAGGCAAGAAAATTGGTTTCCTTCCTCCCTTACTCTTCCCTGTAAAATGGTTGGTAAAGATTCAAGTTTTAGATCATATTTCCTTCTGTTAACATGGAACCACACATTGATGGATTCTTCAAGTCTCTGGTCCAGATTGCAAATGGCTCAGAGAAAGAAGTTTTCCTAGCTACCAAAGAACATTGAACCCTGCTGGAATAAGAACACATATCCTCTAAAGTCAATGGGGTTTTAGTGTTGAGATTAAATGAATCTGGTCTCTTTTGTTGTCATTGTTTACTTTAAGTTCTGGGATACATGACAAAACATGCAGGTTTGTTACATAGGTATATGTGTGCCATGGTGGCTTGCTGCACCTATTGACCCATCCTCTAGGTTCTCTCCCCTTGCCCCCTACCCCCACAACAGGCCCCAGTGTGTATTGTTGCCCTCCCTGTGTCCGTGTGTTCTCATTGTTCAACTCCCACTTACGAGTGAGAACATGTGGTGTTTAGTTTTCTGTTCTTTTGTTAGTTTGCTGAGGATGATGGCTTCCAGCTTCATCCACATCCCTGCAAAGGACATGATCTCATTCCTTATTATGGCTGCATAGTATTCCATGGTATATATGTATCACATTTGCTTTATCTAGTCTATCATTGATGGGCATTTGGGTTGGTTCCATAATATACTACAAGGCTACAGTAATTTCACCTCTTTTTAAACACAAATTCACTTGAAGAAATTGATCAGCCAATTATTGCAGGAACATGCAGATGGCTGTTAAACCTCATATCCTTTTAAAGATGAAACCATATGACAGGTTATAAAGGTGATGCAGAGAAACACTGGAGGCATCTGAGAAACCTATTGATTAGAGATTCAAGTTCAAATGAGAGACTTTTATTTTGAGAGAAAGGGTGAACTGGTCTCATGTGCTATGTTTCCAGCTTACAAAGCATGTGTCTGCTGAAATTCCTTCCCTGGAAACTTATTTAAATGTCTTTGCTTTCTTACCACAGGCAACCTAGGTTGGAAAATCCTCTGTAGACATGATTTATATAAATAAACTTTAAAAAACAGTGCATGTGTGTTTGTGTGTGTGTTAAACCACACTTAATTCTTTCCTTTTGTCCTGATTTTTAGGACTTAAGCCCGGAAACAGTAAGAGCCTAGCACCTTACCATATGATCTCTTTCGTGTTTCCTTTTTTTTTTCTTTTAACTTGTAAAAAAGTCCTGATCTCTTGAGTCCAAAGCACTAACATGTCCCACACCTCCTGAAGGACTTTCTCTAGACAGGCCTCTTGCTGGCTCATTGAGTCAGATTCTCCTAGAGAGTCCACTTGTTTGGCAACATCTATCAGCTGGTATCTGGATCCTTCATACCACTAGGGACTCTTTAGGTCCTGGAGTTCTTGTCGCAATAGTGGTTACCCTCTCACTCTCTGTGCAGTTGTGTGTATGTGTGTGTAAGCTTAAGTTTTACTATCTCTCTCATCATCTCCAGAGGGAGTTCGGCTTCCTGCTCTGTGTTTTTCACAAGTCTGGATATTTTCAGCCCCCACCATATGACTTTACACATTCCTTGGTCTGGGTATCACTTGTGGATCTGGGAACATAATGATGCATCGGAGGAAATTTCTCAGATGAACAGAACTGATAAAACTCCCAGAATTTCCATCATGTTTTCACCAAGAGAAACTGCTGCCACTCTAGGTGTTCATAGCTTCTTTGCCCTTTGATTCTGAGAGGGTTGAAGGATGCAATGTGGGTGAGGTGATGTAGAACCTCTCGATAGGGTTGGAGATACTGTTTTTTCATTGTAGGGCCAGATAAATGACTCAATCTTTAGAGCTGGCAAACAAGCTGTGATCTTATTTTGGGCAAGGTTTTGAAGGTATCAGGTTAAAAGTACAGTTTTCCCATTTATCGAGGAGGTCCAAGTCTACTGAGAAATCATTTCAGCCCTCTTCTGCCCAGAAGACTGTTATTTTTGATTTTATATTTTGAGCTGCTAATGCAAAGAACAGGAGGGCTGACACTCAATGCCCAGGAAGAGAGCTTCCTGGCTCAAAAAGAAGGGCAATGCGATAGGCTGAATGATGGTCCCCCAAGGATATGCTCTTCCTAATCCTGGGAACGTGTGAATATTTACCTTAAATGGTAAAGGGGACTTCTGCAGATGTGATTAAGTTAAGGATTTTGAGATGGGGAGATTCTCCTAAGTGATCTGGGTAGGCCCTAAGTGTAATCACAAGGATGATGATGGAAGCAGAGATTGGAATAATGCAGCCAGGAGCCAAAAAATGCCAGCAGCTTCTGGAAGAGGTAGAGAACAGAGTCTGTCCTAGAACCTCTTGTTCATCTCTGGCTGTGTATATTCTCCTGCAGTTTCTGATGGTTCAGTACAGTCCATATTACAGTGGCATTTCTTCTCAAGGCCATGAGTTTCATGTTGGAAATACCCCAAGATTATTCTTGTTTTTGTTGTTTCCTTCATTGGGAGAAATTAACAGAGCACAGATTTTATAGAACCTATGCTCTCTCTTGAACTTTACTTGTAAAAAGGAGTTCATATTGGTTCACAGTTTGCTTCCCATAATGCCCAGAGAAGCACTCCGTCAAAATATTGGACTTCTGTCTAACTTAAATGCAGCCCAAGCTCACAAGAAGCATGCATTCTTCCACCACCTGCAGTTGCAGCAGGCATCAGAGGCACCTGTCATTCCTGCTGCCAAACCAGCAGCTCCCTGGGTCACTCTGAGAATGCAGAGGCAGAGTGCAGATTGTCTGCCATGGTGCTGAAATGCTCACATTGGCTCCTGGTGGGTAGCTAAAGGTCCTCTCTCTCTTTGCTTGCTTTCCTGACATCAATCTCATGCTCACCTGTGGTTCATGAGCTGAGGAAAGTGTGTTGCCATGGTCTAGGCGGTAAAGGAAGGGATTGAGGGTATGGGAAAACGTAAAACTACTCTAGAAAATTCTTTAAAAGTAGAAGCAACCTTGAGCCAGGAAAATAGGACCTGAATGAGGACTATTTTATGAGAAGGTTTAACCATTTCTCCAAGAGGAAGTTGATTCCGAGACAATTCTTGTGAAAGGGATGTAGTAGGAAGTGTTCCTAGGGAAAATCCACGGGAGAATAAAGGGGAAAGCACGATTAGGAAAGGAAGAAGGCAAACAAAGTTTCAGGATTAAGGAAAGTCTCATGGAGAGAAATTGTATCAGTTATATATTTCTGTGTTACAAATTGCCCAAGCATAGTGGCTTAAAATGACAATAAATATTTATTATGCCTCAGAGTATATGTGGATCAATATTTCATGAGTAGCTTGACTGGGTGTCTCTACCTGGAGGTATCTCAAGTCATTACACTTGAGATGTCAGCTAGGGCTGCAGTCATTTAAAGGGTTATCTGGGGCAGGAGGATCTACCTCCAAGGTGGTCACTCACATGGATGGTGACTTAGCACTGGCTGCTGTCAGAAGACCTCATTCCTCTCCACATGGACCTCTCCCAGTACTGCTTGAGTGTCCTCATGTTGTGGCTGCTGTTTCCTCCAGAAAGTGTAGTCCAAGAGCGAGTGCCAGCCAGAAGCTATTTTATTATTATTATCATACTTTAAGTTCTGGGGTACATGTGCAGAACATGCAGGTTTGTTACACAGGTATACACATGCCATGGTGGTTTGCTGCATCCATCACCCCGTCATCTACATTAGGTATTTCTCTTAATGCTATCCCTCCCCTAGCCCCCCACCGAAGCCATTCTTTATATGACCTAGCCTTGAAAGTCACCTAGCATTGCTCCCCATCTTCTATTCTTTAAAACTGAGTCACTAAATCTGGCCTTCATATAAGGAGAAGAAAAATTAGCTTCCATCTTTTAAGGGAGGAACATCAAATAATTTGTGGATATATTTTAAAACCACTGCAGTAACCTTTGCTCAGTCCAGCAGGGAAGATCTAAAGACAACAGTTTACCATTCAAAGTAGTTTCCATCAAGGGCAAGGGAGCTGGAGTATTTATACTCTCACACTTGCTTGTCATTGATTAAAGCTGTCTGAAGTGGGAGGGGCATAAATTCACGTGCTCCTTGCCTTTCCAGCAAGTGGAAGCCTGAGAGCAGCCCTTCAGCAAGTGACACAGTTGTTGGCTATTGAGAGTAACCACAAATTGGAAGTTGCTGGGAGAACACACACACACGCACGCACGCACGCACGCACGCACGCACGCACGCACTGCAGAGAGATCTGAGGAGACAAGAGGCAGAACACTGACAGAGTCTGCTACAACCAAACAGCTGAGTATCTAATTCAGCATAGTAAATAGGGTCTTAATCACTCAGTGGTTGCTCTATTGTGCATTTATTCCTATGTATTATTTTCGAGGAATAATTCAGTAATGTGGCGCCCTGGCCTCTAGTTGAATGGTGTTTAGTGGAGAGGCTGTGCTTGCCGTTCTCCAAACTCGTTTAAAGGGATCATCAGGTTTCAGGGATTCTGCTCTACCTTCTCCTTCATGTGCAAAATTATCTCTAAGCAGAATTCACAGTTGTCTCAGAGAGCCTGGGAGCAGATGTCTGAAAAATACATAATGAAATCAAATAACAAAATGGAACTAGGCAGATGCTTCCCTGGAAGAGCAAGGGAAGGAGATGACTGGCCACCAAGGGTTATTAATAACACTTTTTACTTTGATGGTGTCCTGCATCTGAGTCTCAAAGAACCATTTAAATAATACAGGGAGTTATTTCCTTGGATAGAATCTTTAAATCCAGCAGGTCTTTTGAAAGTTTGATGCTTTGAATGTTTTACTCTTTTTGAATTGTTCTCAAGGGAAAAATGATTTTGATTTATAAATTGTATGAAAGTTTTAAAAGTCAGTTATTTCTTAAAACAATAGACAGTGCTACTATTTTTGTACTACTATGTGGAATTTATGCTTTTTAAAATTTTCTGCTTCAAAGTTTCTTCATGAAATTATTTCAGTAAGTGATATGACATTTCTGTTCAGTAGAGAAGATATTTACAGATCCTGCCCAAATTTCTAATAACCATTGGTTTTAGCCATTTAACTATCTGCTAATGCTTTTTCATGAAACGCCAAATGACCAATTGCAGAGGCCTATTTTGTTTTTTTTTCTGCTGTGACAGAAAAGGGTCATAGAAATGAAGTGGCCCTGGCAACAAGGAGCACAGAGCACTTCTAAACTCATATTTGGATGGAGAATAACAAAGGACTGAGTTATTAAGTAAGGACTTAATAAGTAAGGACTAGGAGCCGAGATGCTTTTGAGATACTTCTCCACAGAAGTGAAGCATGGGAGAGACGATCCACCTTCAAGTGAACCCAGAACCAGGTCTCCCACCCCAGGTGATGTTTGCTGGCACTAGCCATGCCTTCACCAGTGCTGACCTCCTGTCATGGTTTGGCTGCCTGTAAAGAAACAGGAGAAACAATGGAGAAGAGACTTGGGCTGCATCTCATTAACTTGTTACATCTCTTCCTGGACAGTGGATGAGAATGTGTTTTGCCTACCGAGTGGTCGCTGATTGTTTCATTACTGGGCCCTGAACCAAAAAGGGCAGCAGGATAACACAGCCCAGACCCAGAAAAGAAGGAGTCCTGCTGCTAGGACTGAAACCACAGCAAAGGCTGTGTCCCCAAGGGACCAGAGGTTCACCTGCTGTCCTCTACAGTCGCCTGCCTTGCTTTTCTTGGACTCAGCATGAGGAGTGTTTCTTGGCCTCACAGCACTACAGAGTGGCCTTACAAGGAATGTGTTTGCAGCTGTCAGGAAGCTGGTCATGGCTGCATTACAGGTACTCCACACTGGACAGTCTTTTCTGGCTCATGTTTGCTGTTTCTTTTTTTAAAATTGGGAAGCCGGAAGTTTTCCTTTCCTGGCAGTCCCCAGGCAGTCAGAATTACCAACTCTGTCCACCAGGTGGAAGCACGGACAGCACGGCTGCCCAGCTCTCCAGTGAGCCGCAGGGAGGTAACACAATAGCGCTGCTCAGGTCATTCTCCCATTTCGTCAGGTGTCCATCTGTCTTTCCCTTGCTTCTAGAAAAGACGATTAAGAGGACATGCTTTTGCAGATTGTTTCAGCAGTGCGTCCAGCTCTCTCCCAAATAGTCATTTCTTTACACAAGAAGTCAGATCTTCTCTGGAATGCCAATTAATTTTTTTTTTTAAGTGAGAAGGTATTTTCCACCCAAGTTTTATTTTGGGATAATGAAGGAATTTGTAATTCCATTTGTAATCATGCCACTTTTCTTGAGAAGTCCATAGACTTCTCAAGTCTTTCTCTTGAGAAGGAATATCTGCTCACTCCTCAATAATCCCTTTAATTTAGAGGGTTCATCCTTTTCCCTTGGTAAGCCCAGATCCACTGGGTTCCACAACATTTTGCCAAGCAGAATAGGGAGATGAAAGGAGGATGGATGACAGGGTCCTCCCTTGAGGGGTTGATTGTCTCCACAGGGAGTCTTGAGGGATCAAAATAAATACAAAAGTTCACTTCGTTTATCTTATGTAAGGTTTGTTCCAGTTTTCTGTCTCACTGCTTTGAGATCCAGTTTCAGTGTGCTTCCAAGGAGCAATGCACATAACTTAATGTCAGCGAGTCAGCTCTGCTGGACAAGTTCTAAAAACCACATGTGGTTGATTGCCTCATTTATTCCTCACAGCTGAGGTTCTCAGGTCCCTTCCCTTTTCTACATACCTTCCACACTTCCAGCCCCTTGCCCTCCTGTGCAGCCGGGCAGTCAGTACTGCCTGGCCTCAGCTGTGTTCACCACATTCCTTTCAACACTCACTTTGTCCTTAGCTTCCTACAATCATTGTCTGGGACCCTCCCGCACCCAGTGACCCAGTGACTGAAACTGTTCTCGCAGGGGCGATGCGGAGGACCGTCCTAAGGAAAGGCGCCTGGTGCTCTTAGTTCTCAGTCTACCGCTGCCCCTGTCCAGCCATCCAGAAATTGTCTCTTTCCAGCCGGTTTCAGCAACTCTTCCACTGAATTTTCCTGATTCTCCATTTCTAGGTCTCTTTGTTGTGCCTCTCTCTCTTAACACTGCAAGGTAGACTCTTTCCAGTATTAGAATCTCCCCCTGTGCCATCTCCCCTGGGACTCTGATCCACCTTCTATGATGCTTTCCATTCAGTCCATTTCAGCTTTCACCTTTTCAGCTCCATCCTAGGGGCTGGGATGCATTTCCATTTTAAATGTCTTCTGGGCGTTTCCACATTACTGTCCCACATTCACTGTAAACTAGATATAAGTGTATCTAACACCAAACTTGTCTCCTCCATGGGTCAGAAATAGTCAAAATTCCATTTCTTATACCAATTTTAGTATCATTTCTGTCATAAACTTGAAAACCTAGTGGCATCTGTGCCTTCTTAACCGCACCCCCTTACCCACAAATACAATGAATTAACAATACCATCAACATCACCCTCCTTCTCCCTCTTGAAATATGTTAGCTGTAGTGTACTTGAAAGATCCTCTCCCTTGAAATTAGGAGAATAAAGTTGGGACGTCTTGCCAGTTATGAGACATGGAACAAGTAATTTCTGCAATTCTGTCCCAGTTTCATAAAACAGTAAAATCATAGCTTCCAGAGATGCCTTGAAGATATGTTCATCTTTCTTCATTCATGAATAAAAAGAACAAGTCCACAAAGTAAGTTATCTGAAGTCTCTGAGCGAAGGCCCAACACTAGGTGTAAAACCACCAGCCAGTGATTTTTCTTCTGATCCAGTGGATCTTTAGGAAATCCCCATTAAAATAGAAATGTGGCTTAAGAAGGACCAACACAGGAAGTAACCACTGTTACCGAATACTGAGACCAGATTTCTTCTACCCTCACCTCTCCCCTTTCCCTGCAGAGTAAAGCAAAAGAAAGGCTTTTTTTCTCAACTTATTTTAAGTTCTGGAGTACATGTGCAGGATGTGCAAGTTTGTTACATAGGTAAATGTATGCCATGATGGTGTGCTGCACAGATCATTCCATCACCTAGGTATTAAGCCCAGCAACCATTTGCTATTCTGTCTGATGCTCTCCCTCCCTTACCCCCACCCCCAAAAGGCCCCAGTGTGTGTTGTTCCCCACTCCGTGTGTCCAGGTATTCTCATTGTTCAGCTCCCACTTATAAGCAAGATCATACAGTGTTTGGTTTTCCGTTCCTGTGTTACATTGCTGAGGATATTGGCCCCCAGCTCCATTCATGTGTCTGCCAAGGACATGATCTCATTCCTTTTTGTTGCTGCATAGTGTTCTATGGTGTATATGTACCACAAATGATTCTATTATAAACTTTTGCATTTGTATGTTCATTGCAGCACTATTCACAATAGCAAAGACATGGAATCAACCCAAATGTCCATCAGTGATAGACTGGATAAAGAAAGGCCAATTTTGAAGCAGTAAAGAAGAGTAGCATAAACTAGGAAAGACAGGCTAAGAGCCTGTGTTAGGATCATTGGCATCCTTTCAATCTTCTTTCCGTAACAGGATGCCCTGAATTTCCGTTGGCAGAACATCACCTGCATCCCCACCACCATGGGTTGGGTAGACAGGACCCAACCCTCACCCCCAGGGGCAAGCCTGATTATCAGGCCTAGTCTAATCTGCATATCCAATCATCCAGGCCAGTTATTGGCAGGTTGACTGAGGAGGCACCTGATGTGGACAATGTGCAGAGCAAAGGGCTTTTGCTGGGACTGCTGAGAACTGGATATGACCCTTGGAACTCCTGGCATCCACCATGTACTGATGAAGGAAAATCTGCCAAACACTGAGCAAGTAGCAAGGAGGGCAGAGAAGCAGAGGAGGAGAAATCACATCCTGATAACATCATTTGAGTCCCTGGATGAAACCTGGCCTGAAACTAACCCTATTCTTAAACACTCTTAAAAAAAATTAAGTAAAGGTTTCTAGTACTTACAGCCTAATGGTTTTTGTTTAATACAGTCTGGAAAGGGTAAGATAAAATATATATGTATATATCTTCCATCTGGTTTCAGCAACTCTTCCATGAATTTTCCTGATTCTCTTCTTCCAGGTCTCTTTGTGGTGCCCTTCTCTCTTATTGCCGAAAGGTAGACTCTTTTCAGTCTTACAATCTCCCCCTGTGCCATTTCCCCTGGGACTATGTATATATATGGAGAGAGAGAGAGAGAGACCCCAATCTTTTCCCACTGATCTGGTTTGGCTGTGCCTCCACCCAGATACCATCTTGAATTGTAGTTCCCATAATCCTCACATGTCAGGGGAGGGACCTCATGGAAGGTGATTAGATTATGGGGGCGGTTTCCCCGCATGCTGCTGCTCTGGTGATAGTAAGTTTTCACAAGATCTGATGGTTTTATAAGGGACTTTCCCCCTCTTTGCTCTGAGAGTCTCTCTCCTGTCGCCGTGTAAAGGAGGTGTTTGCTTCCCCTTCGACCATGATTTTAAGTTTTCTGAGGCCTCCCTAGCCATGCAGAACTGTGAGTCAATTAAACCTCTTTCCTTTATAAAATTTCCAGTCTCAGGCAGTTCTTTATAGCAGCTTGAGAACAAACAAGAACAAACTAGTACATCCACCTAACTCAGCTGCTGGTCCATCTCCCTAGCCCAGGGGTTAGCCATGCTCCCAGACTGCTCTTAGAGATGGAGTCCTTGAGAAGGTTCCTTCCCCACCTGTTCTTCCAGTGACTGGGAAGACAGAATGTAGTGTTCAGGCTGACCATTTAGACATCTAGCAGCCTGTGATTCTCAAAGGACTTTATAGACTGTTGGAGAAAGCGGCTGGGAAGAATGGCAGTTAAATGGTTTTAAATCATGGAAACATCACAGCTTGACAATAGGAAAAAGGGGAACTGTGCTCTGACCTGGGGGAATCAAGAAACCGTTTTGGAGAAAATGGGGTTAAAAGAAAGTTTTCCCACTATGCAGAAAGGCATGTAAGGGAAGATGAGATAAATAAGATGAGGAATGAACTATGATACATAGACTCCAAGTTTCACAATTTAGAATGTATGCTTGATCTGAGACAAGAATGTTAAAATTTAAAAACTTCCAAAACACATGCAGAAAGAGAGCAAGGAGGGGATTGAGGCATGAGGTATGTCCTATCAGGGAGCTTCACCATTTGTGGTGATGTAGGCAGATTTTTCAAGGGAGACATTAATGTAATAATTAATCTACTTTCCCTCTGGTGGTCTTTCATAGTAGCACTTTGAGAATGAAATAGAAGTCTCCACTACATTTATAATTTGAAACTTGAACCACATGCTGAACCAATTGCTGTGTGAAGTTGAGTGTGTACTCAGAGCAAGGGAGGGGACGTTTTCTGTCTCACTATGCTAATTTACTCTGTATAGGCTTCGTCTCTTCCTTCTCTCTGGGATATAAAAAACGTCTACCTTCTGCACGTATACTTGTACTTTGCATCCAACATCCATTCGCTATAGCCCTGTGATAGTCATCAGGGCTATTTGCCAGATATTTCTGGCTTCCAGGGACATGGGAGAACTACACTTTTTCTCTTCCTTTGAATTCAGACATGGCCATGTGATCTGTTTTGGCTAATGAAATTTGAGTGGAAATAATGTAGTGAAAGCATTAAAATCCAGTTTGCAATTTGCATGCTTTTTTTTTCTTACCTCTGACATAGTGACAGGCAACGGTTAGAATCATTCCTGTTCCATCAGTCTGAGTTCCTGAGCCATTCTGATGAGAAACCTACTTCCCCATCTAACTCCAGTGGATGTGGTAGCCTACGCAAGAAATAAACCTTTGTTGTTTTAGGGCATTGAGATGTCGGGGTTCTTATTACTATAACAGAACCTAATTCATGCTGACATAAAAATCTAAAACTATTCCGGCAACTATACTTGAAATTGGATCAATAAGATGTGTCCTTTAACCTTTAAGAACTCACCATTTTGAGAAAAGATGTAAAGAAAAGTTAGAAGGCAAAACTTAAAATATTAATGAAAAATTTTAAAATATTTTATAATTTACTTTTAATTTCTTCATCTCTGATACCTTTTGTTAATATTTCATAGTGTATAATGTATATAGTCATGATTTTTATATAGTTATAATCATATTGAATATACTTTGGGGAATGTTACTTTCATATTTAAGGTTTTTATCAAATTCTTGCCACAGGTTTACATTAGTCTTCACTGTGATAATGCATATGCAAGATCAAATTAAGTTTAATTCTATTAGAGTCTTCTGGCAGCAGATTACAGAGAAACGCAACTCAAATTGGCTTAAGGTATGAGAAAGTTTAATATTTCACCTATATGGAAGTTGAGGCTCTAGGTTGACTGATTCAGTGACTCAATGTCGTCATCAAGCAAAGGCTTTCCCATATCTCCAAAATGCGCTCCTCAGTGTTGATTTCCTCCTCAGGCGTGTCATATGGTGATGCAGCAGCTCTGGGGGCCGCATCCAGGACAGTGCTCAGAGTTAGAAGATGAGTGGTTTCTTCCTGTGCCTCTTTCTTAGGAGAGAGATAACTTTCCCAAAACTGCTCAGAAAACTTTTCCTCTTATGGCCAGAATTCAGTCATGACCATTTGCAATCCAGTCACTGGTCTTGGGTGGCAGTTGGTGGGCAGAATTATTATAGTTAACATAGACCACAATGTCCTCTATGGCAGGGGTCCCCATCCCACAGGCCATGGACTGGTACCTGTCCGTGGCCTGTTAGGAACGAGGCCACATAGCAGGAGGTGAGCTGAGAGCTAGAGAGCATGAGCTAATTACCGCCTGAGCTCCGCCTCCTATCAGGTCAGCAGCAGCATTAGATTCTTATAGCAGCAACACAGACCCTGTTCTGAGCTGCTAGGTGGGGATCTAGGCTGTGCTCTCCTTATGAGAATCTAACTAATGCCTGATGATCTGAGGTAGAACAGTTTCATCCTCAAACTATCCCACGACCCCACCCTGCCACTCCCCACCCCTTTCATGGAAAATTGTCTTCCACAAAACCGGTCCCTGGTGCCAAAATGGTTAGGGACTGCTGCCTTATGGACTAGAAACCATCCCCATGATCCAATGGCCTCCCACCAGGCCCCACTTCCAACACTGGGGATTACAATTCAACATGAGATTTGGGTGGGGATATAGAGCCAAACCATGTCAAGGACAGAGGCTTTCTTTTCGTATTGTTTGTTTACTCTTATTGAATTTGTTCCCTCATAAGGTAGTACTCTCTGGCACAATATTTGGAAATGTTGAAGTCTCAATCCCTCAGAAAAATTTGGCATCTAATTCCATCTCTGACACTGCAATGTTGGAATTAGGAACTGACTCAACATAAAGTAAATGCAAATTATCCTGAGACTCCAGTGATCCAGAAGGAACCCCTGGGAGGCCCTTAGCAGGGAAATGTCACAGAGGCTGTAGGCCAGCTGAATTGCAGAACTTGGAACAGAGTCCTTGGAGAGCACTTAAGCACAAATTATTTTTTATACCACATGAAATGATTGGGTTAGGAGTATCAAAAAAAAATCAAAAATGATAGTCACATTTAAAAACTTGGAGAAATGGCCCTATCTTCAACAGAATGTTTCTTACAAAACAAAATGGGATATAGGACTGTCCATACCTGAGTTTAACACAAGTTTTGAGTTAATAGCAGAGTCATCGTCTTAATTTAAGCAAAATAATCTTTGGCAGTAATTTTGTTCTGAATGACACCGTTGCATTTTCCTCCTGTTTCCTCTTTTGCAAATACCTTGGTTAAACATTACTGTTGGCTTCAGAGATGTTTATGTTATTATTTACTATAGGGTTCCCTCGTAGACTCTGAGGGGGTCTATGAACTTCTTGACATTGATCGCAAAATTATATGCATGTGTGTTTTTCACAAGAGAGGCCTCATGGTTTTCATGAGAAGGGTTCGCAATTGTCTCTCCTGCAGTGTCGCCCATTTTTATTTTCCATTGTGGCCTCCCTTCATCTTTTCTCTACCCTCCAGTCTGCTTCCAATCGATGATTTCTCACTCAATTTTCCTGAGTAAACAAGATTTTGGCTTCGGCTGCCCTAGGTAGAGTTTCATCTCTGTTAATTTAAACACTTTCTGTGACTCCCTTCCCTTCATATGGGTAGTCAGGGACTAGGGTTTTCTGGTTAATATGCTGTACTGAATGTCTAATTTTTTAAAGGTGTTAAAACATATTTAAGTGTATTCAACATTATTTGTTGATTCTCTGGTTCAGAAGCCACTTCAGGATCTTTCGTTGCTGCATATCAACAGCATGCTTTCTGGATTTTTCTTTGG